GTTTATCTTCCTTCTTTATATCCCTCTCCGTATCACCCCCAGACTTAGGTTTAACTGCTGCCAAGGCTAGTGGGAAGGGCTAATGCTGCATCATAACCTTTCTCCTAGTCTCTTCACTATGCACCAAGGAGTAGGCTTGAGATAAGGTCACACTGTCCCTTGTTAGTATTTGCTGTCTCACAATATCATAGTTAGGATTCAAACCAGCTAGGAATTCAAAAACCCTATTAGTTCCAACTTGCTTTCTATGAGTCTGTGCATCATTCTGACTTTCCCACTCAAGTGTTTCTAGGTGGTCAATTTCATGCCACAAAGAATTCCAAGTAGAGAAGTAAACCGAGGTTGGTTTCTCTCCTTGCTTAAGGTTATTAACCTCACACTTCAATTCATAGGCCCTAGCAACATTAAGGGGTTGGGAGTAAGTCTCTTTCATGACATCCCAGATTTCCTTGGCTGTTTTTGCCCACAAATAGTTTCGGCTGATATGTGGCTGTATAGAGTTGCACAGCCATATTATAACCAAATAGTTCTCTTGAACCCATTTGGTATACGTTTGGTCCTCCTTAGTTGGTTCTTTCACATCTCTCAACAAGTAGCTGAGTTTTTCTCTACCCCCAATGGCCATCATGGCTGATTGGGCCCATTCTAAATAGTTGAATCCATCAAACTTCACAGTTGTAATCTGAAAGGCATTCTCAGACATGTTACCAGAATTGCTAGTCTCAAAAACACCTTCCCCCTGATTCTTGAACTCCATTCTTGGTCAAGAATTAACAATAAAAAACTTTTGAAGCTACTGTAATAGAAAACAACACCTAAACAACTGATAACAGCTGGCCTAGGTCTTCCAAAGAATAAGGAAAAACAAAATTCTGTATGAAACCAGTTCAAAATCTGATATGAAACAAACAACAGTTCTGAATTTTTAGGGTTTTCTCTCAAAACCCTAGAAAGAAAAAAAGGTTTTCCAGCCGCACCTCTCAGAATAGACCAGGATGATTCTTTCAAGGTTATTCTCAAGCAAAAAAAAACTAACTTTATGAAAGAAAATCTCTGGCCGCCACCTTCTATCTGATGCAGAACCCTAATCTTGGGGATCCGAAGCCTTTTCTAATTCTTCCTGACTACTGGAACTCTCCCAGCCCTCTACAATCTTCTTAGTAGTAGCCGCACACTACCAGTAGCCTCCAAGAATCAGCCGATCCTCCTTCTTTGTTGAAAAACTTCTAAACCTAGGAAATTCTCATGTAGTCAAYCTRATTAGACTAACATAAGACCTCCTTCTCTGCAACCAGTTTTAGGTTTTGAACAGAAATTCTGATTACCACCTTCAGTCTTGATAAAGAAACTGATCGCCGACTCTTTA